TCTGGGGGTCAGAATTCCGAAATGAATCCTCTGGGGCTAAAACCAAGGTGCTGGCAAGATTGTGCTCCTCCTGTAGGCTCCAGGGGAGTCCCCACCTGGCCTCTTCCAGCCTCTTGCCCCACCTCCTCAGCCAGCAGACCAGCACCTTGCACTCTCCCTGACTCCCTCCCCTGAGGACACAGGGCAACCCTGTCTCTGTCTCCTTCATCATCCCACCTGCAGAATCTCTTTTGTCACAAATGGTAGCATATTCACAGATTAGGTCCTGGACACCTTGGGGGCGGGGCATCATCTCTGATCTCAGGGTTCCAGAGGGCAGACTCTGGAGAGTTGATGTCCTCATGTTCTCTGGCTGAAGAGCCCTGCGGCCTGGGAGGGCTCTCCTGACTTACCTGTAAGCAGGAGGCACAGAAAATGAGTCCAGCCCTTGGGAAAGTACCTGACCTGTTGTGAGCACCCAGGAATTGTCACCAATGGTGATTACAACGGGGAGGTGTCATGGTGTGGGTGTTTGTGTCCCCGTGGCTGTGTATTGGAGGCTTGATCCACATAGGGTGAAGACAGGGGGTAGACCTTTAGAGGTGGGGTGATTAGGTCATGGGGGCAGGCCCTGTCAAGATTAGGTAGTTCTTGTAGAACTTTCAGCCTCTACAGTTGTGAGGTAAATAAACCTCTCTTCTTTATGAAGTGCCCAGCCTCTGGTATTTCACTGAAGTAACAGAACACAGGCTGACACAGAAGGTCAGCCACATCAGGAAGGTAGCCAGGGGGCTTTCTGGAAGAAGAGGACTGAGTTAGACAAATGAGGTCCCTGCCACCAGAGGAGTCTGCCGGGCGGGTCCTCCAGGTGAGTTTCAGCAATTCCAGGAAAAGCTGGACCCAGGGCCACACAACTGCAGTCCCAGCTTCTGGAGAGGCTGAGGCAGGGGGACTGCTTGGCCCCTCAAATTTGACACTAGCCTGGGACTAGCAAGACCCCATCTCAAATTTTTAAAAAATTCCAGATAACTGGGGCTGGGGATGTGGCTCAAGCGGTAGCGCGCTCGCCTGGCATGCCTGCGGCCCGGGTTCGATCCTCAGCACCACATACAAACAAAGATGTTGTGTCTGCCGAGAACTAAAAATAAATATTAAAAAAAAATTCCAGATAACTGAGGCAGAGAGGGGAAGGTGTGTTGAGAGCACAACCAAGTCAAGATGGCGCCTGGCATTTTGCCAGAAGGAGTGGTTGAGGGGTAGCGCCAGGGAGCCATTAAGATGATGATGGTTGAGTTGAGCTGTGTATAATTATTGGGATGATGACTGATTGCTGTAACTGGATGATGCTAAATTGAAACAAGCTGTGTATTCAGTTGTGTATATAAACCTCTGCTGTCCGGCAATAAGGCGGCTCCTGCTACCTCAGGTGCCCGCTGCTTTTGAGTTCTCGCGGAGTTCCTGTTGCGTTCCCGTGGGGTTCTGGCAATAAAGTAGTTCCTGTTTTGAACCTACAAGTGGCTCGTGACCTCCCGGTTATTTGTGCCCAGCCAGACTGCGGCAAAGGTGGATGGTGACAGGGATGAGGCCTTTCACTTTCCCAGAGCCTCAGGATGGCCAGAGTTAGGCTGGGGAGCCCGAGTGTTACTCCTTGGGAGTTACTTCCTTGGTTTTCGATCATCAGGTGGCGGAGGGCCCTTCCCCCACAGTGCCCAGGTGATGTCTAAAAGGAAATTGAGGCATGAAGGGCGGAGACCAGGCAGAGATTACACAGGAGAGTTTATTTGTCAGAGCTGACAAATAAAGGCCATCCCTCTAAGAGGAGAGAGGCCCCGAGATATTCGGGGTTCAGCTTTTGTGAGGTTGAGCTTTGGAACTGCAGCTGTGGCTCTGTGGGACAGGCTGGGGACCTTAGAGCTGGGCGGTGGGAATAGCATGGGATTGGCTTCGGTGGATGGCACCTGGGGCTCCCCAGAGCCAAGGGGTCATGTCCTTCTGCAATTGGCTTAGGGTTATGGTACCTGGGGTAGGTCACTAATGGGGGGGGTTGAGTAAAAGGAAGTACAGGAAAGGGAAACTTATAAGGTGGCTGCTCAGATGTTAAGTCAAGACCCTGTATTCCTCCCTTTTTTTGTTTGTTATGGGGCCCCTTAAGGGACAGGGGCGTAAACCAATCTTTTTCCTGCTGGGAAGGGGCGGCATCTGGACGCTTGTCAGGGGCGCAGGGTGTCATTGAGGCAGTGGTGAGGGTCAGGAGGTGATGCTGACCCTGGACGTCCAGTTGGTGAGGGGTTGAAAGTCCTGTGACGGAAGCTGGTTCACGGTTCAGTTCGAGATTTTTTGAATCTGATCTTGAACAAATCTAAGGACGCAAGGGGCGAGCATTAGCAGAAGGCCTATGGCAAGGCGAGGGGTCAGGAAAGGAAGTGCCCCTGGAGAAGGGGGTTCTTAGCTGCCATCCCCTGAGAGAGGAGAGCTGTTGTCTCCAACGTCCCAGGGCCGGTTGGCGTCGTTGTATGTCTTTGACTATATCAGATAGATTGACACAAAAACAGCTTTCCTCCTGTAGGTAAAACACAGTCTGCCTTTCTCTGCTGTTAGTCGGTCCAGTCCATGGCGGTTTTGGAGAACCACAGAGGCTAAGGAGTCCAGTTGATTCTGGAGGGTTAGTGTGGACTGGCTACCTGTTGAATGTCCCCTACCAGCTGATTGGAGAGTGATGGCAACAGGCAATGGGGCGGTTATTCCTGCCATAACCCCAGGGCGGCCACTGGAGAAACAAATTCCATAGCCCGTTTGTGTCCAGGGCTCATATGAGTAGGGACTTCCCAGCGAGCTGTTCAGGCCCAGAAGACCTGCTGCTAAATGAGAGCAGCCCAGAATCTCTCGCCAGGAGGTGTGAGGCCTGAGAAGCTTCCCCATAACAAGGTTGGAGAGGACAAGGCCCTTATTTGGGGATATAAATCTTTAACATCCCCAGAATTATCAGGAATATAAACACAACAGTTAACTTTTAATGTCACAGATGTCCATCCTCTCAAGATGCTGTTAAGGTACTTAATGTCATCTGATCTTGTAAAACCTTTCTATTGGTATGACCTCTGTGTCTGGTAGAGAACCCTTTATTTCTGTACTTGGGGCTAGATAATCATGTGAGCAAGTTTCTAAATATTTATTTTTTAGGTGTAGTTGGACACAATGCCTTTATTATGTTTCTGTGGTGCTGAGGATGGAACCCAGGACCTCTCACATGCGTTGGGTGAGTGCTCTAACACTGAGCCACCACCCCAGTCCCCATGTTAGCAAATATCAGTCCTACCTGCGTAGGAGGTTAGGAAGATGTGTAGGCCTTAGACTGACTGAAAACTTCTGACTTGGCAGTTTCACTTGGTAGTTATTAGGCATTCCTTCCTAAGAATCTCTCTTTTGTAGCCTCCAGTCTTACTTATTTCAGGGGGCTAACACAAACGTATATCCAAAGTTACACTTAACTACTATTATTTTTAAATGCCCAGGGACGGATGTTTTGGTTTAACTGATTTGCTACGTGTTTAAGATGAAGCAGGTCAAACTGACTGTTTCTATCTGCTGTTAAAAGTCACCAAGTTCCCATGGAAGTCATTCTTGGGGAACTGGAGAGCAGCTGTTTAGCTCTGCTAGTGCCATTTGCGCTAGGATGGGTCCAGGTCTTGTCGACCACGTGGCTTCCCTTGAAAGCATCAGGGATGTCTCCCTTCTCCAATGACTGTCCTCTTCATAGCAAGTGCATTGAGTGGCTTCCTGTTCTCTAGTGGCCTCCTTAATCGCCCCCCCCGATCCATCATCGATCGATCGGGAGGTTAAATGCAAAGCTCTTTAGAGGAGTTCCCTGTTCCCTGGATTCAGACTGACTCAGAGGGCAAGAGCCAAAAAAAATATTGGTTCTCTTGGCCCTTTTAATTTAACTTTAATTTTTAAGTCTTGATCTTAAACATCCAGAAGATGTGTAGGCCTTAGACTGACTGAAAACTTCTGACTTGGCAGTTTCACTTGGTAGTTATTAGGCATTCCTTCCTAAGAATCTCTCTTTTGTAGCCTCCAGTCTTACTTATTTCAGGGGGCTAACACAAACGTCCTTTTGGGGGGTTGCTCAGTCATACAGTGTGTGCTTAAACCGCCCAAGACCCCGGGCTCCTTCCTCAGCAAGCCCCCCAAAGCCTTTCCTGCGCCGACCCCTTTACTCATGTTGCAAACTGCTCCAGGGCTCCCCCATAGCCTTTTCCCATCCCCACTTTGTGCCTTTCCTCTCCACCTCCCTCAAAACTAAGGCAGCAGCCCTCCCGGGCTCCGGGCGCGTAGGGAAGTGGCTTTCTCTCGCCCGCTGGCCCGGTGCCTACGCTGGAGACCCTCCCGCCACTGGAGCCCACTTCCTAGGGAGGCAACGGAAAGTGCCAGACTCCGGTCCAATCGCTCTCCGCGCCTCGGGTGACCGCGCTCGCTCTCCAGCCACGCGGTCTTCTTGGGGGACAATTCGCGGAGGGCGGCTTTAGCCGTCACCCCGGGGGTCTCCTTTGCAGCCCGCACAGCGCAGCACATGCCCCCACGAGCTTGTCTCCCCCGGTGCCCTCCGCCCGGGAGGGCCCGCAAGCCACAGCCGAGGTCCCCCCGCGCGTCTCCACATGGGCGAGCGGGGGCGAGGCGCCCCCAGCCCGGGAGGGCCGAGGGGCTCTGCATGTCCTCCCGTTGAACTGGACTTTGTTACGTAAGCGCTGGGTGCCAGGGGAGGTTCTTGAGTAGGGCAAGGGACAAAGCCAGCGCATCCTCGGAGGGGTCAGGCGGCGGGTAGCTCAGGCATCCCTTCGAGAACGCCACGGGAAGCGCGCCGTCGCCCGGCAACGGATTCCGGAAGAACCACCGAGACGTGGCCCCAGAGTGCAGAGAGGCCGGCCCGGGCCAGCGAGGTGCGGAGAGCTAGAGAGTTGCGCCGGGCTGATTGTCACGTGGGCGGCCGCTCGAGGGAGGGACTTCCGGCAGCGCGGTATTTTCTTTCCGGTTGTTGGCTCCTGCCGGCTCCTCCCCGACTGGGCCTTGCGCCCCCCGCCCCGCGCGGCCCCCCGCCGCCGGGCCTGCTGCCACCATGAAGAAGTTCTTCCAGGAGATCAAGGCCGACATCAAGTTCAAGAGCGCGGGGCCCGGTCAGAAACTCACAGACTCCGCGGGGTGCGTGACGGTTGCAGGGCGCTAAAGCCCGGCGGGGACGGGACGGGTGGTGAGGAGTCTGAGCTCAGAGGCTGGGAGGCTGACAGGGAGAGGCCGGGCAGGCCGAACGGCGAGATTCCGGCAGCAGTGGGGGGACGGGGGCGTGCCAGGAGGGGCGGAGCGTGGGAGAAGCGAGAGGGGGCCAGGGGCGGGTCAAAGGCGGAGCTCGGGGTGGGGACTTGGGGGCGGGCGGGGCACGAGGGCGGAGCGTGGAAGCTGGATGGGGCCTGGGGCGGGGAAAGGGGCGGAGCGCGGTGAGCGGGGGCGGGGCAGGAGGGGCGGAGACAGATCAAGAAGGATCTGGGAGGGGCAAGGGGTGCAGCATGGGGGCAGCTGCGGATGGTACAGGATGGGCGGAGCATGGGGGCACCTGGGGGTGGCACAGGAGGGGCGGAGCATGGGGGCACCTGGGGGTGGTATAGGAGAGGCGGAGCATGGGAGAGGGTTGGGGGAATGTGGGTGAAGTTTGGGAGCAGGGGCTGGAGTGAGATCTGGGGGCGGGGCAAGAGGCCAATGGGTACTGGCGGGTGGAGGATGAGGGAGTCTGGGGCTGCAGTTGCCGGAGGAAGTTCAGAGACCTAGAGGAATAAAGGAGAGGCTTGGGAGATATCTGGAATGACCTGAGATTTGGGGCTGAACCTGGAGGAGCAAGTACTGCAGGGATCCTGGGGTGTCGGTGAGGCTGAGCCTCCCCAACTTGGGAAGAGGGCTCCTGGGTTCTGGCTCTGCAGTGCTAGGAAAGGGGAGTGAGTACTAGGAAGAGTCTGGAAGGCCAGCCAGCCTGAGGCTGTTGTCTAGGGCCTAACCTGAGTGGCTGTGAGGGGCCAAAGGAGGTCTGGGAGGTGGGAGCCTTTGTGCCAGGAAATGGAGGCCTGGTGGGAGAAGTGTCTGTCCACTGGAGGCTCCTGGGGAGGCATGGGTGGGAATGGAGCAGGTGTGGCATCAGGCGTCCCTGTCTGAGACTGAGGGCGGGTGGGGCTGATTAGATGGGGCCTGGAAGGCTAGGGCTGCTGCAGGAGGCGGCGATGAGCTCAGCCAAGGTATGTGGGGGATAGTGGAAGGAATCCTGGAGGGGTTGAAGGTAGGGGAGGAGCCCAGAGGCAGGCAAGAAGGGGCAGGGGAGGCACCAAGGTGTCCTGCGTGAGGATTGGGTGTCCTGCGTGAGGATTGGGTGTCCTGGGATCTCAGGGGTACAGTGCTGATTTGGAGAAGGCAGGCCATGAGGGCCAGGCAGCCAACACCTTGGGTTCCTGCGCCAGGCAGGGAGGAGGGTGGCAAACCTGGAGATGGTGAACAAGTGGTGGGGCTGTGTGATGGGAGGGACATGGGGGCTTGGGGCTACCTCAGTCTAGGGGTTTCGGAGGAACCAGGAGGACTCAGGGGGGTCAGGGAGAGAGCTTGTGGAGGTCCATGTGTCTGTGACATGTGGCCTGCTAGAGTGGGACTTAAGAGCAGCATCCAGGCTGTTGGAGGCTTGGGCAAAGGTAGGGCCTCGTGCTCTAGGGCCTGCCTTCCAGTGGGACAGTCAGCACATATGCCACAAGAAGGAGGTGGCGCTGAGGCCCCTGAGGAGAGAGAAGTAGTTGGTGGGCAGTGAGGCAGCTGTCAGGTGGTCCAGGAAAGCCCCTCTGAGAAGGTGGCATGTGAGCTGAGAATGGGACTCCGCAAGACCCAGTATGTGGCTCTCGGCCCCTCAACAGCACCCTCTGCAGACCTGGTTTTATCCCACCCCCAGGTGGAGTGTTCTGGGCAAAGGTACAAAAGTGCAAAGACTCCTCAGTGCAACACACTGGGCCGCCTGTGGAGGACCAGAGGGGAGCCCCGAGTGGAGGGAAGTGAAGGTGGCACTTGAGTTTGTCACGCAGCCATGAGGGGGTTGGCGCAGGGGAATGGCGAGCCAGGCTTGGGTTCGGGGGTCCCTCTGGTTGCCCAGTTAAGAGTCCTTGCAGGCTGGCAGTGCTGTGGAAATGCTGTTTCATGGAAAGGTCTAGACAGTGGATGATGCCAGGCGGGTTTGCGGGAGCCATCTTTTCTTCATCTCAAGACCCTCAGCTGTGGGGACGATGGAGAGAGGTGGGGTGGGCAGGAGGTAGGCCCCCAGGTGTCAGGACAGGATGGCTGCTGAGTGTCTGATGGAGCAGAGGAGTGAGGGTCCAATACTACGCCAGGCTCCTAGAAGGTTCTGTGGACCTAGAGCACAGATGATGGGAACTGCTGGGGTTGGGTGAGGGTCCCAGGGGAAGGCGAGACGGTTGCATCAGTGCAGGCCCCAGAGGAGTCGCTGCCAGCACCCTCTATGCTAAGTGGTCATGGAGCCACCCATTACCCATCTGGGGTGTGGAGTAGTGACACCAGGATGACAGGGATCAGGCCTTGTGGTCAGCCCTGGCAGGGATATCTTGCCCATGCTCCTGTGAGCCCAGGAGGGTTTGTGAGGAGGGGCCAGAAGCACTCCTGGAGAGTCTGCGGGGAGCACACGGGCAGGGCCAGCCAAATCCAGCAGGGCAGCCCCTCCGCAGGCCTGTGATGAGGGACAGAGGGAGGGAGGCAAGGTCGTGACCCCATGAGCCTCTTCAGTGCTTGGGAACGTCAGGGTGGCTTCTGCAGGGGAGGATGCTTTGGGTCCATTTTATAGATGTGGATGTTGAGGCCCAGCTGGGGCACCACTTGCCCAAAGGGGCAGAGCTCCAAGTAGAGCTGCGTCTCCTGCCTTCAGAGGCTCCTCCACCTGTATCAGGACTGTCAGGGCCCTGGGTGGCCTGGGAGGTTGAAAGGCAATCCTGTGTAGATGGGCACATGTCTGTTTGAGGGCTCAGGAGGCAGGAACGAGGCTGGGCAGGTGCTCTTCCTACTTCCCCGGGTCAGCCTCCCTGGCCACCCTGGGAGGCCATTTACTCCCCTATCTCTGCCCAGGGAGAAGGCCCCCAGAGAAAAGCCCCAGCAGCCAGCCCTCAGGCAGCCCCGCCAGGGACCCACCGACGAGGCACAGATGGCAGCAGCAGCTGCCCTGGCCCGACTGGAACAGAAGCAGCCCAGGGCCCGGGGCCCCACGTCACAGGACTCTATTCGGAACCAGGGTGAGTGGTGGTCATCCTGGGCTGAGGTGGGGGACCTAGCACTTGACTCTGGGTGAAACAGTAAACAGGGTGTTTTAAAGTCAAGAGGGATGTGCCAGGTGGGAGGGTGGCACTGGGCCTGGTGTCAGGGGCACGGGTGACAGAGGTGCTCCTTGAGGAAGGAGGGCAGCTGAGCTATGCAGGAAGTGGGGGTGGGAGTGGGGGTACACAAAGACCAAGCCCAGCGAGAGGACTACAGCCTGACCCAGAGCGTCGGGCTGGGCGGGCGCTTGCGAGGCTGGCAGGCCTAGTGCGGGTGGGGCCCTGGGGACCGGGCCTGGGGCAGGGCGACGTCTGTCCCGTTTTCCTCTCTTCCTCTGCTTGTTTTCTTCCTCCAGTGAGAAAGGAACTACGCGCTGAGGCGACCGTCAGTGGTGGTCCTGAGCTTCCAGGGACCAAGGAGGTAAAGCTTTTGCTGTGGAATTGCCCCCAAGGCGGGCGGCGGGGACCCCTGGGAGGGCTGTGGCAGAGCTTGAGCCAGGAGGACTTGCTGCCAGGGGCATAAAAGAGGTGTCGTCTCCACTCCGTGCTGCCCCGAACCACAGAGGCAGGTGGGTGTAGACGCCCAAGGGTGCCAAGAGTGCTCCTGAGGTTCCCAGAGGTGACGGCTGCTGTCCTTGGCCAGGAGGGGCAGGACTGGAACCTCTGTGTGCCTTCAGAAGCCACAGTCTGGCACAGCCCTCCTGTGTCCCTGGGCCTGGAGGGCTCCATGGAGGAGGGATCCTTTGGGAGTCTCGGCAGAGCTTGGCCAGGAAGCCGTGATTTTAGAATGGAAGAGACCCTAGACGTGGCCTAGAATGTGAGGTGCTGAGCCCCCCGACTCCAACCCAGCCCCACACTCGCTCCCGGTAGCTGGGGGGTGGCTGCAGGCGCAGGAAGCCTGCGAAGTGCAGCGGCTGCTCCCGGCTGGCGTTGCTCTATGTCAGTGCCCTGGGAACTGGGGGGATGGCGCATGGGCCAGGGAACCTGGGAGGAAGGGCTCGGCCCTCAGCTGACAAGTGGAAGGGATGGTGGGGGCCAGGAGCGCCAGGCTCTACGGGCCATGCTTGCCGGTACTGTCCTGGGGCCGCCTCTGTCCACAGTCTTTGCTCAGCGCTCTCACCCCCCAGGTACCTGAGCCCAAAGAGGAAGGCTCGACACACCTCGCGGTGCCTGGCGTGTACTTCACCTGCCCACTCACGGGGGCCACTCTGAGGAGGGACCAGCGGGACGCCCACATCAAAGAAGCTATTCTGTCGGTGAGTGCAGCCCCTGTGTGTCCTCATCCCAGAGCAGCAGCCAGTTCCACGTGGGCCTTACCCTGCCTTCGTGCCTGTTATGCCTTCCCCAGAGAGGGCAGAACCCAAGGACGCCATCAGAGCAGAGCAGAGGGCGCTGCCACCCCTCAGGCCCCCCTCCCGGCAGCTGCTGGAGGTAGCTGAGGTCCTTTTCTGAGATGCCCTGAGGCGTCTGTCCGTCTCTCCTCCTCCACATTCTGCTCCACATAAAGGGCCGCGGGCCGGGCCGTGCACACTTACCTTAGACACTCGGAGGCAGTCTGCGCGGAGGAACTGCTTTGGTATATTTTTTACCTTGTAGCTCTTTTTTTTTTTTTAGTTGTAGATGGATGCGGTGCTTTTTTTAATAATTTTTTATTGTAATTTGTTACATGTGACAGCAGAATACGTTTCAGTTCCTAGTACATGTACAGGGCACAATTTTCATGTCTCTGTTGTACACACAACATATTCACACCGTTCGTGTGTTCATGCCTGTACTGAGAGAAATGGTGTCGGTCTCGTTCCACTGTCTTTTTATCTCCATGCCCCCTCCTCCCCGAGGACACAGTACTTTTATTTGTTTATTTTTACATGTGCTGAGGCTCAAACCCAGTGCCTCACGCATGCTAGACAAGCGCTCTACCGCTGAGCCCCAGCCACAGCCCCTTGTGGCTCTTTATATGGAAGAAAAATGCAAGAGGAACACAGACGACACCTAAATACTCTTTACCCAGCTGTTTGGGTAGCTTTTTGTTGCAGTAACCAAACTGTTTGATAAGAACAACTTAGAAAGGAGAAAGTTTAATTGCGGTCATGGTTTCAGAGGTCTCAGTCCATAGATGGCCGACTCGGGTACACGGGCCTGAGGTGAGGCAAGGCATCATGGTGCTGGTGTGCAGAGGAAAGCTGCTCCGCTCCTGGCAGGGTCCGGAAGCAGAGAGAGAGGGGAAGGGACCCCAGGGCAGATGCACCCTGCTGGGCACCTCTCAGTGACCACTCCTCTGGCCACACTCCTGACTACATGTCAGGCCATTCAAACTAGGATGGACTGGCTGGTCCCAGCTCCCACCGTCCACTCATTTCACCTCTGAACCTTCCTGCATTAGCACTGGAGCTTGGAGGGACACCTCACCCCAGGACACTCAGGGTGTGAGTTTTCCAGCTGTTACAACCAGTCACTGCAAACCCGGTGGCTTAGACAAGCTGCGTGTCTGTCCTGGCCGTTCTTTTGTATTTGTACCCTTCACACTGTGACCCTAGGCTTCCCTGGGCCAGATTCAAGTGCAGCAGTGGGGGTCTCTCCTGAGACTCCAGGGAGATTCTGGTCCCACCTCCTCTAGTCTCAGGAGGTGCCCACAGCTCCCGCCCCTGCCTCCTCCTGAGCCAGCGGTGCCAGGCCAGGTGTTTTCCAAGCTGCCAGCTCTGCTTCTCTCCCTATTCTGGCCCCTCTGGTTACCTGGACCTTCCTGGATGATCCAGCACACCCTCGTTCCCTCTGCTGCTTAATTCTCCTTTCCCATGAGGCTTCCCTTCCTCATGGTTGCAGGGATTAGGATGCAGGCGTCTTTGTGTACGTGGTGGGGGGGGCATTAATCTGCTGCCCGCCCCCCATTTGCCAGGTGTTAATGAGATTTGTGCTCCACTTTCTTCACCTACCCTCATCTTTTCCTGAGCTGTCTGTGGGAAAGTTCTACATGCTCTTTTATTTCATTTTATTTTTATTTTTAACTTAGATCTTTTTTTTTTTTTTTAAAGCAGTGACAAATATGTGCAGAAGTAAGTGTCCAGGGGCTCAAAATTCAAACCCCACACTTCATAGCAAGAGCTCATTGTGTAAGCATTAAAACACTGCCTGGTAGTTCAACATTCACGCTAGAAATGAAATTTTAAGAAACATAAGCAGTGTCTTATCCAATTTCACAAGATGCTTCCTACATGGGACATCAGGGCACTGGAAATAATGATCCTCTTGTGTTGAATGTAAGTTCTTGAGCTCATCTTTAAGATAAGCAAGGTCTCCAAGGCTGGAAGTCTATGGGAGCTGCAGTTCCAGTGTGAGGGCCTGAAACATTTATTAGAACCATGCAGGAAACTAGCATTTCCTTTAAGTGCTCGTCAGGAGGACGTCTGCCCTTAAAAAGTGTGAGAACGCAGCAGCATCGGCAGGTTTGCCAGCTTTCTTCCAGTGATTTTAAGTAACATACTTCAGAGCTGATAAGAAATTTGGAGAGGTGTCTCCCAGTTTCCATGTTATGGGGCCATCCTAATCCCTCCTAGCAGCCAATCATCCCTCTCCAGGTTGTTTTTAAAAACACCTGCGGGAGCTCACTGGGGGATTTTGTTATTGTGATGGGTCTTTCAAGGGGACAAGGGGCTTGAAGGTCTGGAGCCCTATCATCTGCACTGGCCATCTACAGGTCAGGTCCGGCACTGAGGTACCCTTACCAGGAAGCAGCAGCTTGAACCCTGTCGGCCCCTTTTCAACCTTTCCCAAAGCTTTTTCTAGTCGAAATTATCTTGTCTAAACGATGCAGAATGGCTTGAGTTAGAGATGGACATTTGACCACAACCCTGACCACGCCTAGAGGCGCCCAGGGGCCTCGGCCACCTGGGGCCAGTTGACCCAGCAGGGCGTTCAGGAAGAGGTGCCTATGAGCCTGGGCGGAAAAGGCGCAGAACCCCAAACCTCATGTTGTGGGGCTCCTCTTCACCTCCAAAGGCGGCCTTGCCGCCCTCGAGAGTAAACCCGGCCATCCTTCATCGCCACAGAAACCTCACTCATCACAAAGTGTCCTTTGTGGTTGACAGCCCTACCTCGCCTGGTTCCCAAATCGCTCGCATCTGAACTGTTTCCCCAGCCAGGATCCGGGCGAGGCTGGCCCAGCCACCGCCAAGTTCGCTAGATTGGAGGAGACGCCTTCCTCCGCTGCCTTCACGATACTGACGGCGGGCAACTCGGGCCCAAAGTTTCTCCGCTCCCGCAGGATGCGGCCTGAGGGCCGAGTGGAAACCTGCAAGGGACAGGGAAGCTGATACTTGGCATCCACGCGGCGGCGGCGGCGGCGGCGAGCAGCGGGAGGAGGAGCGGGAGCCGGTGGCGAGCACTGGGGCCGGGCTCTGGGAGTCGGACCTCTCCCCTGCGGACACGCGCTGGGCCCGCTCAGCGCCGCGCGCCGCGGAGAGTGGTCATGGGCGGGGTGCGCGCGTGGCAGACCCGGATTAGAGGTGTGGACCTCGCGCCGGAGCTCGAGCTGGGTCGCTCGGATCCCGACTGCCGCTGAGTCCGGAGCCTCCAGGTCTCCCTCTGACGCCCTGAGTTGCTTAGGGTCTCACTAAGTTGCTGAGGCTGACTTTGAACTCCTGATCCTGCTGTCAGCCTCCCAGCTACTCTGTGCCACCTGCGTGCTCTTTTTTTCAAAAAAATTATTGGTTCTTTTTAGTTAAGCATGACAGTAGAGCTGGGCATGGTAGCACATGCCTGTAGTCCCAGCTGCTTGGGAGGCTGAGGCTGGAGGATCATGAGTTCAAAGCCAGCCTCAGCAACCTCAAGACCCTAAGCAATTCAATGAGACCTGTCTCTAAATAGAATACAAAATAGGGCTGGGGATTCGGCTCAGTGGTCGAGGGCCCGGAGTTCAGTCCCCGGTACCAAAGCGCAAAAAAACAAAAACAAAATGACAGTAGAGTCCATTCTGACCTGATCATGGAAGCGTGGAAGGCATCCTGTTCCAGTGAGGAGCCCAGCACCTCTGGTCCCCTCACACTGCTCTGCCCAGTGCCACACATGGGCTCTTCCTGCTCTTCCGGGACTTATTCAACAGCTTGTGTCAGGCGATTCTGGTTTTGGGTATGAAAACAGGCAGTGAGGGGCCTTGGCCACAGTCACAGGGTGGAGCTTGGGACACAGGCCACTACAGTGTACTGGGGGGACTCTCCTAGGGGCATCCTGCTCAGGCTCCCTCCAGTGGTGAGGGAGAGCCCCGTCCCTCACCAGGCTTCCTGGTCTTTGTTCAAATTGTAGCCAAAGCGACACCACGCGATAGACTTCCCCTGAGCCTCCCTCATTTAAGGTTAGGCTGGCTGTCCTCTTGGAAGGGTGGCTCTTGGTTTGTAGCACTGTTTGTCAGTGAAACTAGACTTCGACTATGACGTGGGTGGGTTGCAAATATTTTCCCTCAATTGTTTACGTTTTGACTGGACTTAAGTCACTGCCCGGGAGAGATTTTGATCACTGTAACTGAAGGTGTCAGTCTTACTTTATGGCTTTTAGTTTGGGGTCATACTTAGGAAGCCGTTCTTAGCCCCCTCCTAAAATAATAATCCTGTGGTTTTTCTAGCATTTTTCTGTTTGCCTCTCCTTGTCTTGCCTGGGTGGTGTGCTGCACTGTTGGAAGCTCTCACACAGCTGGAGTCCACCTGCGGGGAGGGATGAGCGTGAGGCAGTTTTCCTGGAGAGCTGCCGATTTCCTGACCCCGTGTCGCGAGAGCACTGCTCGCGCATGTGAGGTTTGCCACAGAGAGTCTGGGTTCCTTCCTGACCGCCTCACTGCCACCTCTGGCAGACCTACTTTCTCTGTCCCCCACTCCCTGGCAATGAAACCAGCAGGTGGGCCGGGTCCCAATCAGGCTGGCGGGGAACTGGCTCATTTGGGAGCCGACGTCTGTGTGCTTCTGATGCAGCTGCCCAGGGCCCCCATGTAGCTGAGGGAGGGTGCTGGGAGGACAAGACCCAAACCCACCTTCCAGGAGCTTTAGGCAAGCTGGTGGGCTCTTGCTGGGCTGCTGTCCACCCCTCTGTCCTCTGCTCCTCCCAGTTCACCAGGACTTGCTGGCTGCAGGGGAGCATGTGTGTGGCTTGTTCCATGGTCGTGCAAAAGGAGAGCACATGCTTTCCTGGACCTATAGGTAGGCCCTGGGAGTAGCCCATTCTGGCCATCTTGCCACCTGGCTCTGTCCAGGTTTGGGGCACTCCTGTGCATCCTCTCTGTTACCCGACACCCGTGTGCCCCTGGGTGAAGATTTGCAGTTCTCCGTCTGCGGGGGTGAGGACCAGCAGGGCTGGGCGTCGTGTGCCAGGATCGCGGGGCCCACTGCTGGAGTTTCCCATGCCAGGGTGAGAGGTAGAGATCTGTCACTTTTAGGCCACACTGACCACCAAGGTCACAGAGAGGGCAGCTGTTTCTCTCCTGCTTTGGTGGCCATGCCCTCTGCCTGGAGATGAGAGTGCGTGAGGCAGGACTGACCGCGGGGGTCTTTCTCCTCAACTCTGTGCTGAGTGTGTAGTTGGATGGCGGATGTCCCTGCTCTGCCCCAAGAGAGCCAGGGGCACCACTCTGGCCACTCCTCTGTGGCCGGCTGTGCAGTGTAGTACCAGGAGTGGCTCTCAGCATGCCATGTCCCCTGCAGCACTTCTCCACAGACCCTGTAGCCGCCTCCATCATGAAGATCCACACGTTCAACAGAGACCGGGACAGGGTGAAGCTGGGCGTGGACACCATCGCCAAGTGAGTGCAGTCAGCACCCAAGCCGCTCCCGGTGGGGCCGATCCCTCTGGCTCTGGGGACTCGGTGGGGCCAGGAAGGAGCAGAGCCTGGGAGGGAGGCCAGGCCACCTGAAGCCTCTGGGAAGGGGTCGGGCCTGGTTTACCTGTCTGCAACACAAGGGCCCAGGGAACTGGGGGCTCACCACCCTGGTTTCCCTTGGGGTTATCTGAGGAGTGTATAAGGAGAATGGGAACCAGCTCACTCCAGCAGCTGGTCAGGCAGATCGGGTGGATCCAGAAGTGCCCATGAGTGTAGCTGCCAGGGCACCGCCCACAGAACCCCCAGCCCTGCCGTCCCTTTGCGCAGGGGTTGGTTACCGTCTCTGTCTGTTGTCTGATCTCTGTGGTTAATCTGTGTCCTTGGCAGATAGGACTGAGAGGCCAGGCACAGTGACAGCCCCTCTGGTTGGCTGTGAGGGTACCTGTGATTCCAACCCCAAGGTGCAGCGCCAGGTCCCACTGGGCCCTCCTTTCTTCTTGCTGCTGCTGATGCTGCTTGTGACTCTTAGCTGTTGTCCCCTGGTGCTGGAAGTGTCAAGGAGCCAGGGACCCTGTGTCCCATTCCCTCGTCCTCTTCTCAGGTACCTGGACAACATCCACCTGCACCCTGAAGAGGAGAAGTACCGCAAGATCAAGCTGCAGAACAAGGTGTTCCAGGTGAGGGCCGCAGTTCAGCCCGCACAGCCGGCCCCAGCCATGGTGGGATGGCCAGCACGGGGAGTGGGGGGGCATCCTTGAAGTGGCCAGCAGAAGGTGGCACTAAGGTGACCGAAGTCCCATGCCGTGGATGGGCTTGGTGGGCGGCTCCCTGCCTGGCATAGTCTGACCCTTACACTGGGAAGGCGCACGTGAGGTTCTTCTGCAGCAACAGCGGGTCTGGTGACCCCGGCCTGTGTTCTGAGCAGAAGCTGTGTCCTCCCCTGCTTTGGGGATTCCCCAGCCGTCCTTGGGGTCGGCCTCCTGCCCCTGGTGGTTGGCCTTTAGGGGAACTGTGTCCTCCAGGAGGTGCTGGGGGAGCTCCAAGGTTCTCCTTAGGAAAGTGAGTTTGTGCTCAGCTCTGCCACAGCTTCAGGGTTTGGTCGCCATCAGGGGTCACTGGGCTTGTGGCCGAGGAGGCCCTGTGTGACCTCTGCTGCACTCCTAGGAGCGCATTAACTGCCTGGAAGGGACCCACGAGTTTTTTGAGGCCATTGGGTTCCAGAGGATGCTACTGCCTGTCCCGGATCAGGGTGAGGCTAGAGGAAGGGCCTGGGCTGAGCCTCAGGTGGGGGTGAGGGGCTGAGGTGGGAGGGCCCGGCTTGGGTGGCCCTGCTGCAGTGTCATCTGTGTGGGGGTGGCACAGAGGACCTGGAGGAGTTCTACGTGCTGAGTGAGGGCGCGCTGGCGCAGCCCCAGAGCCTGGAGCAGCATAAGGAGCAGCTGCTGGGTGCAGAGCCCGTGCGGGCCAAACTGGACCGGCAGCGCCGTGTCTTCCGGCCCTCACCCCTGGCTTCCCAGTTTGACCTTCCTGGGGACTTCTTCAACCTCACGGCAGAGGAGATCAAGCGGGAGCAGAGGCTCAGGTGGGCAGGCACACCTGGGGCCCGGGCAGGTTGGGTTTGGGGCCCAGGCAGCTGCCTGAGCCCTACTCTCTGGGTGTGGGTTGCAGGGCTGATGCTGTGGAGCGGTTGAGCGTGCTGCGGACCAAGGCCATGCGGGAGAAGGAGGAGCAGAGGGAGCTGCGCAAGTACACCTACACGCTGCTGCGCATCCGCCTCCCTGACGGCTGCCTCCTGCAGGGTGGGCCCAGGGGCCAGGGCAGGGCTCACTCTTGCTACTGGGCCCTCGGCTCTTGTAGGGCCAAGGCCCTGAGCTGCGCTCTGCCCAGCTCCTCTCAGACTGAGTTGCTGGTGGTTGGGCTTAGGGGCACAGGAGTGGGCACAGGAGAGGGCCAGCCTAGTGGCTGGATCTGACTGTCCTGCTTCCCAGGGACCTTCTACGCCCGGGAGCGGCTGTCATCACTGTACGAGTTCGTCAGGGAGGCCTTGCAGAACGACTGGCTGCCTTTTGAGCTGCTGGCCTCGGGAGGGCAGAAGCTGCCGGAGGAAGAGAACCTGGCCTTGAACGAGTGTGGGCTGGTGAGCGGGGGCCAGTGCTGGTGATGCAGTTAGGACCCCCAGGGGTTCACCAAGGAGGACCAGGAGACATCCTGGGAAGCTGATTGCTGTGTCGCAATCACTTTGTCACCAAACCCTCCCTGTGGTCTGTGGTGCTCACAGGGCAGGACTTAGGATGGCTCCAGGCCTGGTTCCTGTTAGAATCCCACCTTCCCTCTGGCGCTGTGACCTTGACCTTGCTGTTATCTTGAACGGTTCCTAATTTCTTGCTGCCTCTTGAAATGGGCCTGGTGGGTCCTCTGAGGAGCAGAACTAAGGTGGAATGAAGGGGGGGGTGGATTTCCCAGGGAGGATGCCCGCGGGGCAGGTGCAGGTCTGCTGCCCGGAAGGGAGGTGAGGGCCTGGGTGGGAACCTGGGGCTCTGCCTGGTTCTGATGGCTTTAGCCAGGCGGGGGCATCTCCTGGCCAACTCGCCCATCGGGGACGATCTGGATCCCACTGTCCCCCCACAGGTGCCCTCAGCCCTCCTGACCTTCTCCTGGGATGCCGCTGTGCTAGAGGACATCAAGGCTGCGGGGGCTGAGCCAAACTCCTCCATCCTGAAACCCGAGCTCCTGGCGGCCATAGAGAAGCTCTCCTGAAATAAAGGCAGGGTTGGCCTCAGCCCACGGGTCTGTCTCATGCTCTCCCTGTCCCCCGTCCCAATCCAGGGCCACCCAGCCACCTCTGGAAACACTGGGCCTGGCCCCCAGCCCTACTCGGCTGGCTGGAGGCCTGTGCCCGCCTTGGCGGCAGTACCTCTGACCACCGTTTTGCAGAGCCCCTCGGGCAGGCAGACGTGTCTCCCTGGGCAGAGCTTGAGCACAGACAGGCTCCATGTGCTGTGTATGGGGGTGGACCCATCTGGCACTAAGCTGGTGACAGTGGCAGGAGAGATGCTAGCCTAACAGCACAGTTGACATGTAATTTCTAAATTATGAACCTAAATAAATAGAATATTTGAAAATAGTTTCCTGGTGGTTAATATGAACCACTGGACTTAGGGCAAGGGTCACCTCTGCTGCGCTCCCCACTGCAGAGGGCTCAGCATGGCTCATGCTCTCAGGGCTGCTGGCTGTCCAGCCAGGGGTCCCCACGTGCCAAAGGCCAAGCTTTCATGTCCGATTGTCCCTAACTGCTCACAGAACCTCAGTGAGCAAGCTTTATTTAGGGGGCCCTGGGCCAAGTACCTGAGGCCCAGGGCCCCTTTGGGATCCCCTAGCCCTGGGAGGGGTGTGTTCAACTAGCTTGTTGCTATAACAGAACATCCAAGACTCAGTACTAAGTGTGAAGACAAGAGGTTTTCTGAGCTCACGGTTTTAGAGGGAGAAGGGCATGGTGCCTGCGTGACCTGGCTCTGGTGAGGGCCTGCGGCTGCCTCACGGGGTGCAGGGTGTGGTGGGAGAACACGTGAGGCGGAGATCATGTGTGACCCAGGAGGACAAGTGTGGGCAAGGGCCAGGCCTGCCCTTTTCTCCTTTGCAGGCACACCCCTTGCAGGGTCCCAAGAACCACGTCCATCTCCGAAGGGCAGCTGCCCCAGTGATCTCAACCTCTCAGGAGGCCCACCACTTTTTAAAAGATGTTTTTATTAGCATATTGCAGTTACACAGAATATTGGGGTTCACTTTCACATGATCATTAAAGCTCGGACTGTGATCTGCTCCACTTGGGTCCCCAGCACTTCCCTTTTCCCTCCTCCCGTCCTCTTCTATTTATAGATTTTTATATTAATGCTTTATAGATATACACAAAGGTGGTCACTGTGGCACACTCAAATATGTACATAGCATAATTTGGTCAATTTCTTTCCACCTCCCACCTGAGGTTCCACCTCTTGAAGGTCCCTTTCCACGTGGCCTCCCTGAGGACCAAGATCCCACAGGCGGAGCCTTGGGGGACATACTGGGACTAACAACATTATTCCCCCAAACCTCCACCTCCCCCAACTTGTGTCTATTCCCTTTCAGTAGAATGCAGGGGGGGTCACCCTGGGTTGTGTGGGGCCCAGTGTCACCAGGGTCTTCGTGGGAGGAGATCAGAGGGCCAGACTGGGAGACACTGCACTGCTGGCTCTCCTGGGATGGAGGAAGGGCTGGGAGCCCAGGGCTGCAGGGCCTCCTCAGGCCCAGCCCTGCCGTTCCTGGGTCCACCTCGGGAACCATGTGCCACTGTAGCCTTGACAACTGTGAGACGACGAATCTGTGCTGTTTTAAGCCACCAGGTGTGGTGATGTGCTACAGCAGTCACAGGAGACTGGACAAGGCCTTAGTGTTGAAGGCCCTGGTCCTGTGGCTGACACATGGGCACCATCTCTGCAGCCAAGCAGCACTGAAGCCGTGGGCCCGCCACCCCAGGCCGGCCCGGACACTGTGGGTTATCACAGACACCAGGCTGTGACCATCTAGCCTGTTCCAGTGGGGGCCTGTGGTGACTGGTCATCTGGCTACTACCAGCTGCATGAGTCAGACTTGAAGCTTGAGACCCCACGTGAGTTTCCTTGTCCCTTACAGAAACTAGCAAAAATATGCCCCTTCTAGTTCCCACAATCAGGAGCCCACCATGACTTTTTGTCACACCTGAGCCTCTAGAGCTGCCCAATGTGGGTTTCTGAGGATCAAGGCCAACTCTGACCCACGTCCCCTGCTCACTCCAGGAACATTGCCTGAGAGCCACGTAGACAGGCTCTGCTGGAAGCAGGAGGGCCTGCAGCCCAGACCTGGGGATGAGCCCAGCCTACTGGCCAGGCTAGGATGGCCACCTCGTGTGGGCTGTCCAGTCGGTGCCAAGCCACTCTGCATGCAGCTGGTCCCTCTTGGGGTTAGTGGGGACATGGCTAGACCCAAGGGCAGGAACAACAGGAGGCCCCTCTCTGGGTCTAGGTTTGGACAGGAAGTGCCCAGACCTCGGCTTCCTCCACTGCTGTCAGTCACCACAGCCCTGAGCACAGGGCTCCTCCTTCCCTCCCTGCTCTGGGACGCACAACACTGGCTCCCGCACAACACTGGCTCCCGAGGGCCCTGGTGAGGAGTGGGACCCCCTCCTCACACCTGAAGGGCAGGAAGAGGAACTGGGAGAAGCACGTGCTGGACTAGTCAGCCAGGAGGACAAGGACTTAGTGGCCAACAGAATGGGTGGTGCTTTCAGATGCTGGGCGGAGGACGGGCGGACCTGCTCACAGAAAGGACATACTGACTGACGGAGACGAGGCGGCTCAGGGTAGAGAATAGTTTATACACGTCCACACAGTCCAGGTGCCCGCGCTGCTGGGCCACGGGTGCCTCTGGTGCTTGAGTTCGTTTACAAGCATCGAGCCCCGGCCCTGCTCTGGAGCTTGAGGGGCAGGCACGCACCTGCATGTCATCGCCTCTCATAATGCTTTATTCAAAGGCAGATTAATACGCAACTTTTTGGGACGATTTTTACAAACGTCAAGAACTAATCAGGCATCCTGTACAGACCCTTCAGACCCGGGAGGTCTGCAAAGCAGGACAAAGTGCTCTGTACACAGGAGTCGGTAGTCCGCTCAAGTATCCGTCGTATGGAGGCCCCTGACCGCCCTACACAAGCCCCAGCCAGCCAGGCCGTTGGGATGCTCAGGAGGCACAGAGTGGGCTGGCAGGCAGTGGGTTCTCGCTAACGTCCATTCTCACTACTTCCTCGGCTCCGGAAGTGGTTCCACACGGGTCCTGGGCCTCTGCAGGGCGTGAGAAGGAGGGGTGTGTGGCTGGCTGTACCCACGGGGCTCCCTGTGAGGAGCCACCACCCCTGCTCTGGGAGCCTTTTCTTGTTTCAGTGGAAGGAGGTGGACAGCCCTGAAGCCAGTGGAGGCTCAGGTCACCACTGGGGCACCCCAAAGCTGTAGACCCACTCACCTGCTCTGTCAGATACTGTCCTTTCCCACCCAGGCCCTGTCCCAGCTCCCCCCTCACTCAGAGTGATGGACAGCCAGTCTCAGCCCCTGTCCTCACCCTGCACTCACTCCTCCCGCTCAGCCATTCCCGCTGCAGAACCTTTGCACGTCCCTCTGCCTGGATGGCTCTCCCCTTTCCTGTCGATCTGAATGAGATGCAGAGGGTTGGAACCCTTCTCACCCCCAACATCCGGGATATCCATGACCATGCAGTCGCCGTCCTCCTCCTCCTCCTCCTCCTCTGTGTCTGCCTGGAAGCCATCCACATCCCCGGCTCCAACCTGGTCAGACAGGGCACACAGACCATCAGCAGGGAGAGGAGCCCACATGCCACGTATGTGGTGGGCACCGGTAGTCCCTCCTCCCTGCCTGCATGTGCACACCCGCTAAGGCCCCCGGCAACTGGCAACAACTTCTTTAAACCTGATGGTTTGTCCGAGAACCTGTGGCTGAAGAAAATCCTGGGGTTCTCTAAATGAGCTGAAGTCAGATCGCTGACAACTACCATCATTATCTGCCTTAGCACAAAAATGGTTTCTGTTTTGGGTTGAGCCAGGCACATGCCTGTAATCCCAGCAGCAGGAGGACAGTGAGTTCCTCAGCAAAAGAGAGGTGCTAAGCAACTTGGTAAGAACCCGTCTCTAAAATATAAAATAGGGCTTGGGGTGTGGCTCAGTGGTTGAATGCCCTGGAGTTCAATCCCTGGTACCTTCCCCCCAAAAAGGTTTCCAGTTTGGGTTAAGAGAGAGGTCGACAAGCTCCCACTTCCTGATCTGAGCCGGCCTGCGCTCTCTGCTGCCGTCTCCAGTCTTGGGCACTCTGCTCCCTGGGCCTGGCCTCGCAGCCCCCATCTGCGTTATGCTAGACCAGCTCTGCCAGTGGGAGTGCCCCAGACTATGGAGCAGGGGCTGCTACCCCAAGAAGCTCGAGCCCTTGGCTCTTGCCCAAGGAGAACAAGCACTCAGGCAACATGAGTGACAGTGACCAAGGGTCCCACTCCAGCGGGGGCAGCTTCACATCCCAACTGGGAGGCCGTTCCGAGACACTTCTGAATTCCTCTTTTGTAAAAATCTGCCTGGAAGAGTGACAGCCCCAAGGGGGTCAGTTGTGCAAGGTGCTTTCCTGGCCTCCCTGCCGGCTGGCCCAAAGCACAGCCCTATGGCCTCCTGCCGCCAGCACTGACTAGACAGGCCCACCTCCCCAGACCGCCTGCAGCACTGGCTCTCCTCGCACAGGGAAGAGCAGGTGGGGCGAGCAAGACTTTCTTCAGATCCAGAATGTCCAGAGGAACCAGCACCCTGCCCCTGGGGCCCAAGCAAGGGCCAAGGACCACGAGTCCCTTAGCCAGGAGCTGGCCGACCACCACCATCACCAGCACTGATCGCAGTGGCCAGGGAAACAGGAGCCAACACCTGCTGTTCTTTGCCTTTTATTTTTGAGACGGGGTCTCACTCTGCTGCCCAGGCTGGCCTTGAACTGGGCTCAAGCTTTCTTCCCGCTTGAGCCTACCAGCAGCTGGGGCTCCAGGCGCATGTCACAGGGGCTACCTGGCTGCAGGGCAAGTAGACCCTCTATGTAATCTTGTTTATGGGGTGCTGAACCCAGGGCCTTGTGTGTGTGAGGCAGGCCCTCTACCGGCTGAGCTGTATCCCTAGCCCCTATTTAAACATTTTTAATACTTATTTTTTAGCTATAGTTGAATACAATACCTCTATTTATTGATTGATTTTTATGTGTGCTGAGGGTCAAATCCAGGGCCTTACACATGCTAGGTGAGCGCTTTACTGCTGAGCCAGAGCCCCAGCCCTACACTTTTAAAAACAGAACTGGGCTGGGGATGTGGCTCAGGCGGTAGCGTGCTCGCCTGGCACGCGCGGGGCACTGGGTTCGATCCTCAGCATCACATAAAAATACAATAGAGATGTTGTGTCCACCGAAAACTGAAAAATAAATATTAAAAAATTCTCTCTCTCTTAAAAAAAAATAAAAATAGAACTGAGGCCCAAATAGTTGAAGCACCCTAGAGCTAGAGGCCCTTGAGGAGGGACTGGAGACC